AGTGGGGTGTCTGCAGTCTATGTCTCTCCATAGAGATGTTATTGCTTTTACTGGAATGTTCCACAGAATTTAACTTATCCATCTTGCATCAGTTATAAAGGCTCATTTATGCTGTACATGCTAGACACATACAGATACGCTTCTGTTTGTCCTCTGTGTTGTTCTGTTTGACATTTGGTCCATCTCCTCAGAACATGTGGAATCTTTGCAATGGTGCTGTACATGAGCTAACTACTGGGGGCAGTAATGAACACAGCTCGATAGGGGAAGCTAAACCTTTTAGGTTAACTAGAACAAGCTGTAAAACAAATAAATGCTTTTTCACCTCATTATAGATGTGATGTAAAAACTGCTGTGGGTACCTTAAGGTTTGTTTTGTTGCTCTATTTCATCTGTTTTGGTCAATTCTCTAATGACTTTGTGTGTCCTCTGGTAGTTGTTTAAAAGAATGCAGCAGTGGCATTAGAAACATTTGGAAGTATAAATGCAGTGATGGTTATTGTGCTTTGAATGCACATATCTGTTTACATATAAAAAGAGAAGCATAAATGAGCTTTAAGATGTTTTTATTGCTCTAAAAGACCTTGAAAACATGCATTCTTACTGTGAGTCAAGTTGCATTTCCACAGAACTGACCCTTAACTTGTCCTGGTGGAACCACTGAATGTGTCCATACTGTAACATATTCTAGCCAAAGCAACAAAATGTCCATGGGGACAGGCTGGTTGCTGATCCTCCACCAGAAAAGTTGCATGGTACACCTTTAACATTGTATTTAAGGTTATTCACACATTGCGGTTTCAAAGTCGGTCACAAAATCCAATCTTAGAACAAATGTGTTTAATTTACTTTCAAATGTTTTTTTTCTTTCATTTAGGGTAAAATGGCTCTACTGGCCGCCAATAGCTGCTTCATCTCCTACAGTGAAGGCGGGGACATTGAGGCCAAGAACAAGACTGCTGGGGAGGGCGAGATGGTGAAGGTGAAGTGTAAAATGGCATTTCACTACAAGGTTGCATTGCAGGGGTCAAGATGCAGAGGTCTAATGTTGATTTTTTTTAATTTTTTTTAAGATTCGGACAAATACAGATAGAGAGGTGAAGCAGAAGGATGACTTGGCAGATGAAGACAGGGGGAATGTCAAGTCCTGTGAGATCAATTACGTGTATGTATTCTGAATGTGGTAGTACACAAGCACACCCACAGTCCTTTACTCAATGTCCATTTCTGAAGAGTAATTATGGAAAGTAAGTAAAGGCAAAGGTGTACACACATTTCAGATATTTAGTTCAAAACAACAGATATGGTAGTGTTGATATAGTGAGGAATTGGTTAACGTCACCTAAAATGTCATAAAACTTGTCATCTGCCTCAAGTAGATTAAAATAAAATTACTTTCAAATTAAAATAATCAGATAATCTAAACATATTTAAATTGTTATGACTGTAAGTAGTAACTCCAAGAAGCTCCCCACCATAGGCTGTATATACAAATTGGCATAGCTACTGTGCTAGCTACCACGTTCCAAATAGGAAGTTCACATGCGGGCACTTCCCGCTCGTGACCCTGGCTCCCACTGACTTACATTGGGATACAGTGGCCTCTCTGTAACTGCTACGGCGAGCGTCGTCATTTTAGTCTTAAAATGTTCGTATTAACTCTCTCTACATGATCCTGGAGTTTTATTTTGCTACTTCCATTAAATCAATCTTATTCCTAACATCAAATTCACCTCTGTAACCACTAGCATCATAAGCTGCCTTTGAGTGGAGCCGAACACTGTGGATGAAGTTACACCAGCTAAAGGTCTGTTTAGACCGGAGCGTCAAGGCGTCCAATTTACATGCAAAGTCTACCTGCGTTTTTGCATCTTCAGGCATCTGTGCGGTGCAAATCTGGTGTCAATGTGGCGCGTCTTGAGCGTTCAGGTGTCGACGCTCCGGACACATGGAGAGCGGAGTATAAATATATACACGCCACAACAGCTGATCACCAGGACTCAACCAGGACTCAACCAGGACTCAACCAGGACTCAACCAGGACTCAACCAGGACTCAACCAGGACGCAACCAGGAACCAGGACGCAACCAGGACTCAACCAGGACTCAACCAGGACTCAACCAGGACTCAACCAGTGTCATGAGCATGTCATTAGAGGAGTATAAATATATACACGCCACAACAGCTGATCACCAGGACTCAACCAGGACTCAACCAGGACTCAACCAGGACTCAACCAGGACTCAACCAGGACTCAACCAGGACTCAACCAGTGTCATGAGCATGTCATTAGAGGAGTATAAATATATACATGCTGCAACCGCCAAGCTGATCACCTTTGCTAATGGGTTTTATGTAATCAGTATACTAAAGTCGCTCTCTCAACCTGGTCTGCCATCGTTCCTGGAAAAGACTGGGACTGGGCACTTGTTTCTAAAGCACGGACGCCCTGGACGCATTTCAAGTATTTTTCTCCCATTCAAGACGCCGGCCGGGGGCGTCTAAACTCAAATGCAAATGCATTCGGCTTGTTTTTTGACACTCTGGTCTGAGCGGACCTTTAGTCCACTTCTTCATTCAGTCTATGATCCCCACACTAAAATTTCAACACCCCCAAAGGTAGCTGTAGGGAATTTAGAAATTTTTTGAGGTATTTATGAATGATTTAAGAAAAGTGTATAAACTGCTTAATCAAGTCAAATTTTAAAATGGCTAACAAGTAGGAATGTACACTAACTGCTACATTTGAAGGGTGTCGAGCCTTGCTAAGTCTAATTTCACAAGTTTTCCATTTTACCCCAATGATAAATTGTCTTGTGACTCCTTTTTAGAAACAATGTTTTAAACATATTCATGATTTTCAGAATAATTAATTTTTTTTTAGTAATTTAATTTATTTTTAGTACCGTTACTAAAGCAATTAACAATATAATACAACAATTTCTATTGCATTCTACATCTGAAAATAAGAAATAACAATACATTAATAGTTACAACTTTTGGTAGAAGTTCACAAATACTTAATGGGGATTTGTTTACAGAAAGAAATTCCAGAGTTTCCAGGATCGTCGGCTCAGGGTCAATGAGGAAGCCTCTACTACGTTAAAGAAAGCCAGAGTGGATGGGAAGTTTCACGAGGCTCTGCTGGACAGGTCTGAAATTAAAAAAATAATAATAATAAAATCATACATTTTAATTGTGTTCATGCAAGGTTATAACAATAAAGTTTTGTTGTGTCTTCTAGGAGGAGTAAAATGAAAGCAGACAGGTACTGCAAGTGAAGACATGGTGAAGACAAGGAATAGTTTATTTTTATTATCTTTATTTCTTTGTGGAAATCGTGTTTTTAATAAACAATACATGATCAAAATGCATTGTTACTTTTCTATTTTATGTAGACTCCTTTATAGTTATAGATGGAATTTTTTGCAGCTGAACAGTGGCAGTTCTGCACTGATTTACTCCTCGAGACTCCCTCCTCTGCACCCTGCACAGAAGTACAAAAAGGTGTGGTTTTACAGCAGTGGCTGTTAATGTGTAACATGACGAAGGAGGAGGAAAAATAATTATATTTTTCCATCTTTTGCAATTCTTTTGTTCACTTGTACATAAATATTATAATCGTCAAAATGTATAAAATGTATTATTATTATTATTATAGTCTATGTATTAAATGAGAATCAAATATGCAAATTTAGAATTATTGGTATTATTAAAAATTATCCATTAAAAACAGATCCATGAGTTCTATGATGTGCGCAGGGTAGAAGGCAGATCATAGATTTATTAATATAACGTAGAGGGGGGTCCGTTTTGCTTCCGCATGGAACAAACCACTGCGCAGGCTTTT